CTCTCTCTCTCTCTCTCTCTCTCTCTCTCACATACACACTCCAGCCATTTTTCTCCTTTGGAATTCCTTTAGCCTTTACAATGTTAAAAACCTTAACTCCAACTCATGCTTAAAGCTTCTTGTCCATGCTCTTATTTGGTGGTTTTCAAAAGAGGTGATTGGGACTGTACAGGAGTATTTTGGGTTGTTACAATGCCTTTAGCATTTAGTGGGTGGGGACTAAGAGTACTCAACTTAGTTCCCATGACAAAGAATGTCCTGTCCCAATGCCAGTGTTATGCCCATGAGGAAATGTTGGCATGGATTTGTAACAGGTTGTGTAATTGACAAAGCCTTTTTCCCCAAGCTGACTCTGAGGGCCTGCTAGTCTCCAGTGGTGGTCTCTGACTGGGGAGGCAGTTTCCAGAGTTGTTGGGCTAGAGAGGGCCATTTTCAGAGTTGATCTTGGGAGTCCTGGGCACATGCAACTTCCCTGACAATGACACCAGTGAGACCAAGGACAAACTTCGGAGCTCCTCATCCTTGATCTCAAAATAAGAGAACTGCATTTGGGGCTTGTGGTTTCTGTCTGCGTAGCAATTGAGCAGAAGGCAGCCAGAATGAACCTGTGATGCTAGAGAGGCCAGGGAGAGGAATTAACGGGATGCAGACTTTCCATACATCTGGATGGCCAACTCTTGTGGAGCCAGGGGTGTGAGGAGGTGAGGGTGTGTTGTGTGGAGTGCATGTGGTGTGTGCATGTGGACGTGTGTGCCAGGTGCAGCTGTGTGACTACGGAGAGGGGGAGAGCTGTACATGGAAGGACCATTCATGATGGAGGAGAATGCACATTTCAGGAACCATCTTCCCTGGTTTGAGCTATAGACTGAGGAGGACAAGAGACAGAGGGGAAGACTGGCCATGCTACATAGTCTCTGGGACTCTATCTCACTGTTACAGAAAACTGCCATTGGAGGGCTGGGGGAGGAAATGCCAAGAGGAAGGACTTCTGAGGACAGTCCTATAGCTTGCTGCACCTTACTTTGTCCCAGGTTGGAGTCCCTGCCTTCCCACCTCCCACCTGATATGCAATGCTTTTGACTATCTTATATATGGTTTATTCCTCTGGCTTGGATGACAATACACATAGTCAATTTTCCTGTATAACTTTATAGATCGAATGATACAGTCATGGGCCTTGGGAGGCCTCAGGTCTGTGGGTGCCTCTGGGAGGTACCGATATGCACACACCTAGCACTGACCTGTATTCAAGCACAGAATCGATGTGATCAAACTATCTACAACGTGTTTTTCACTGTAGAATTGTATTTAGCTTGCTCTGGATGAAATAAAAATTATATTTAATAATTTGGGGCCTGGGGTTTCTTTTTTGGATAAATGGGAGTTGAGTGACAGCTATATAGCTGGCAGGGAGTTCCTGTCAGCTATAATTGAGACAAATTTACCTTCTCTGACCCTCAGTCCACTTGTGTCTAAAACGTTATTTGCCTAGATAAGATAATGCGTGTAAAATGTCTAGGAGTTTCTGGAGTACTCACAGGCATTCAGACTGTACTAGTTTTGGTACCTTCTCTAGAGAAGTTGGAAAGGTAACCCTTTAGTATTGTAATCAATGCCAGGGTCTTCCATGTTCTCGTGACCCTTCCTAATGTCTCTGGTATGACCAAATTCCATGCCACTCCCTTCCCTAATCTCTCCCCAACTCCCTCCTTCCCAGTTTAGCATTTATATCCAGGAAAAAGCTGCTTCAAATGGATGCCTGACTCTAGAAAGGGTTTCCCAGCTGCTGAGTATAAGGCCCTACTAGAAGGATTTGGGGATATAAACATGATGGCTATGTTCCAGACAAGGGGGACTATTGTATCAATGTGCACATGTTTTGGGCTTTATAGTACCAAATCTCTCATCATATCACATTCCTCTCTTCAGAGGATTCACCTCAAGCTGTAGTTCAAAAGGTTCCAGACATTAAGTTCTCAAATGACCTTGTTAAAAGACTCTTCTTTCTATATCAAGGACCCAGGAAGGCAGAGGGCCTTAAGACTGCGTCCCAGCATCTGTCCCAATGAAGAAGGGCTCAATCGAAAATCAGAGTGAAGTCTCAGAGGCTAAGGTAGCCAGGAATATTAAGAATAGGGTGGACATTTCTAAATTAAGGGTCCTTAGGAAGGTTCTTGGTGACCTCAGTGAGCCCAGCAATTCGAATGGAATGGTCATGTGGAGGATGTAGCAGGAGCTTTATTCCAGCAGGTGGGGAGGTCACAGGGTGTCAGGGAGTGGCACCAGCACAAAAGATAGAACTTCAGGGAACTTAGCTGTGAAAGGCATTGGCTAAGTAGAAAGGAGAGAATGGTTTTCTATTAAAGAAGGAAGAAAACAGTGCAGGTTAAATGTGGGTGGGGAAGAGTGTGGAGATGGAAAGGCCAGGGTAGCTGATAGAGAGGAAAAGTCATTTGGGGGATAGGAATCAGAGGCTGGGTGAAGTGACTGACCTGAGACAGTTGTAGTCACACCTCTGTCACAGACAGAAGAAAGGAAGTCAAGGGGAAATCACTGGGTAAATTTGTAAAGGGGGTTGGCCACAAGATTGAAAGGCTCTGCCATATGGTCTCTGGCTCCTGCTGTTATCGGTTATTTGTGCAGCAGACTGAAGGCTGAAGCCCGAGAAAACTGAAGACCCTCCCAGAGCCCTCAAAGCTCCAATTTCCCCAGGTTGTGGGCAGGACCTTCCCTGGCTGCACCCACATCCACTGAAACAGCAAAGCATGCATAGAGCAGCCGCAGGGTGTTCTCTCATGGTTTATCACTTAAATCACTGGTAATGCTAGCAGGAAAGATGTAGGGGCCTCTCCTACTGTCTCTAAGCACACATGGAAAAGAACAGTCCTGGACTCAGAATCCATGGATGTGAGTTCAAGTTCTCTATCATCTTGAGCAAACCAGCTCGCTTCTCTGAGCCTTGGATTCATCCCTACCCTGAAAAACAGGGCTGGTTATAGGGTCGGGGATTTGGCTCAGTGGTTCTGCCGCCTGCCTCGCAAGTGCAAGGGCCAGAGTTTGAACCTTGGTGCCCCGCCCCCTGCCAAAACAAAACAAAAACGGGTGGTTATACTGGCTGCACAACGCTATTGTGAAGATTAGATAAGGTAACAGACGTGAAATGCTTTAAAAGCCACAAAGTTCTCACCATATAAATATATAGCTTTTCTGAGCCAAGTGACTGTTCCAATACTAGGAGAGGGCCCACCTGAGGTAAAGCTCCGCTGAGGCCATCACTGAGCTCAAAGCCTCCTGTTCCTGATAGGGAGGGCTTGTCAGCTGAGTACAGCAGGGCAAGGAGGGGACTTAGTGACAAAACCAACCTTGTGATCTCCCCTCATTCTGAGCCCAAATCTGTTCCTCACCAGTGTTTCTCAGTCATTCAGTTACTTAGGTTAAAAAAAAAAATTTGCTGTGACTCCCATTTTCTCTCGTACCTGAAACCATCAGCTTTATGTTCACAATATACTGTTCTGTGAACTCAACTATCCTCGTCCCCGCCGTCATCTCCGCAGTCTTAGTCCAGGCCACCCTTGGCTCTCATTTTGGATCATTGCGATAGCTGTTGCTGATCTTCCTGCTTTTGCCCTTGGCCATCCTTAGTCAACTGTCCAGAGTGATCCCGTTGAGACAGAATTAACAGTAGGTTACATTATCTCTGCTCTGGCCAAGATGGCATCACAGGGGCCATTTAGCTTTGTACCTAAACAAGTAAAAATTTGAAAACAAAACAAAACAAAACAAAAAGACAATTTCAGACATTAAACAGTGGGGGCAGAGAATTGTGATTCCTAAGAGACAGAAACAATGAGGTGAGCTTTACTATTGCTCAAACTTACTGCCTGGGGGCAATTTCCAGAATGCAGTGCAGGGAAGGAGGCCCAGGCCAAGTCCAACATTCTCCCTGAGTTGAGGAGAGGTACTGAGATGGGGAAGGGCTGGAGATCTACAGAGGGTCCCCGCAAGTCTTGAGCTGATAGTGCAGATGTGTGAGGCCCGCAGAAGAATCAAGGATTAAGTGGAACAGTCTTGGAGCTCACACAGGGCAGTCTTTAATGCTTGCCTGATCTTGCTCCACTCCTCAGGCAATATCTTTTGAATACACTTCCTCATCTCCTTTGAGTTATGAACTTTTGCCATTTTATTTGTTGGTAATGTGAACAAACTATTCCTTGTCCTGTGTGGGATCCAGGGATTGCTCCCTGTAATCCTTTCCAGTGGTTCTTTTCTCAGCCTTGATAAATAGCCAAAGATTCAAGGGGACCCCTTGAAGATCTTTACAGCTTTCTTTGTGAAGCTCTCTAGCACTTTTCCTGGTGAGACTTACCTGCTTTGGTTTCCCTAACTCTATCTCCTTGTTTCAAGGAGGCTGTGAAGTGTGCTTGAGACCCCCCTCCCTGTACTGTGGCAGTTGTAGGGTACCTTTTATTTATCTTCCTTTCTGTGATCACTGAATTGTGCTGTCTGACCTCTTATATCTGTCTATTTCAAGTATCCCTCCTCCCTCAGCAGTGTTTTAGCTGTTTCAGATGGGAAAGTAAATTATTTCCTATGACTCCATCCTTGTCAGAAAAAAATATTCACGAAAATTTATGTTCATTCAAAAGCCTGTCCAGACATGTTTATAGAGGCGTTCTTTCTCCCCCAAGGAATTGAACTCAGGACCTTGAGCTTGCCAGGCAGGCGTGGTACCACTGAGTTAAATCCCCAGCTATAGAGGTTTTTATTTTGTCATTGCTACAACTAAGAAACAACCTAAATATCCTTTGACTGGTAAGTGAATCTAATAGACTTTTATGTTGCTATATCAAAGTATCTGAGGCCAGGCACTTTAGACAAGAGACAGGTTTATTTAGCTCAGAGTTCTGGAGTTCCAACAGCACATCACTGGCATTGGCTGGGCCCTGACAGCAGGAAAAGGCCTTCTGGTGGGTAGTGTCACAATGGCCAAAGTGTGTGCAGAAGAGACAAGCACTATGAGTGGAAGAGAGTCAGGGATGGTGCCAGGCTTGCTTGTAACAACTTACTCTCAAGGTACCAATCTGGACTCCAGGGAGATAATATTAGTCCATTCCTGAGGGTGTAGCCCCTTGGCCTAATTACTTCCCATTACACACAGCCTTGTACACATCCACCATAGCCCAACACTGAAGCACTGGGGACTAAGTTTCCAACATGTGAACTGCTGGGGAGCAAATCATACCCAGATTATAGCCGTGGATGAAATATTGTCATACATCCAGGCAATGGAACACTTCCTAGTAATAAAAAGTTCCAGGTACCAACATGGATTCAGCTCAAGTGCATTCTGCTAAATAACAGAATTGAGATGCAGAAAGGTGCCTACTTCATCAGCAGTGACCAGTGTACAACCCTGGTGAGGGGTGTTGATAACAGAGGAGGCTGTGCCTGAAAAGTCTCTGTACCTTTTGCTCAGTGTTGCTATGAATCTGAAAGTGCTCTAAAAACTAAAACCTTATTTATATACCATTATGGAAAAAGAAAACTATAGGGACAGAAAACAGAACAGTGGTTGTCAGGGCTTTGGAAAGGGGAAGCATTGGCAACAAAGGACAAAGAAGACATTTGGGACTGATACAGCCATGGTGGTGGTCGCTTACTTGTACGAGAACAGAAATGGCAGAACACTGCTCTAAAAATGGTGAATTTTGTTGCACGTTAGTGATACCTTTGAAAAATGACAAACAGGGCCAGGGATTTAGCTCAATGGCTCTGCCGCCTGCCTCTCAAGTGTACGCAGAGCCTTCCATTCTAACTTAAAGAAGCCCAGAAGGCCCTATTGCTCTGGACCCTATTGCCTCTTTGCTATCTTCTCTTTCTGATAGACTACTGCTGACCCAGCCCACTTTAGCCTCATTATTCTCTTCATTGTTCCTGCAAATATCAGGCCTCCTCCTGTCCCTAGAGAGGACATGCAGTTGCTCTGTTAGCACATCTGTCCCTCCCCTAGATAGCCTCAGGATACATTTTCTTCATTCAGTCAGACCTCTGTTCAAATGTCATTTCCTCTAAAATATGTCCTTGGCCCCGACTATAGTTTGGATGTTGAATGTCCCCCAAGGATCTGTGTGTTAAAGTCTGGGTCCCCAGAGTGGTGTTACTGGGAGGTGATGGAGCATGGAGAAGTGGAGCCTAGGGTGAAGGGCTTAGGGGTCACTGGGAGTGCTCCCTGGAAGGAGACAGTGGGATCTTGGTCCCCTTCTCAGTCTCTTTTGCACCCTGCTGATGAAGTTAGGTTTTGCTGCCCTATGTATGTGTTCCCATTGTAATGTCCTACCTCACCAGTGACCAAAAACTGTGAAGGTCCCATACTTGTATCTGTGGATTCATGCCTTATCACTTCCAGAACATTTCCCACTGTTATTCCTTTGGATAGTATCTCTCTTTCATTGTTTTCTGTCCTTACAGGAGCAGGGATAAGTTAGACCATAACAATCTAACTTCTATTGCTGATTACTTTGTTTTTATTTTTCATCTGATCTCTTTCACTTGTAAATTTAGTGACTTCTTCAATCTACCTTCTCATTTATTCTCTCTTAATCTATGTCCTAAATGCTATTTATCCAACCCATTCAATTTTCCATTCTCATGATAGTTTTTTATTTCTAAAGGCTCCATTTGATTCTTCTTCAAATCTGCCAGTCATTTTTCCTTAACTTTTAAAATGTATTTTTAACAGAAAATAACAAGTGTTAGTGAGGAGGTGAAGAAATTGGAAACCTTGTGCCCTGTAGGTGTATGTAAGAATCAATGTAAATGGTACAGACTTTAAGGAAAACAATACGGTAGTCCTTAAGAAATTAAAAAATGGGGCCAGGGATTTAGCTCAGTGGTTCCACACTGCCTGCCTCACAAGCACAAGGTCCTGAGTTCGATCCCTGGTACCAAAGGGGGGGAAAATAAATTAAAAAATAGAATCACTGTGATCCAGCAATTTCACTTCTAGGCATATAAAGTGTTACAGATACCTGTGCACTTATCCTCATAGCAGCATCATTCACAATAGGCATACAATAGAAGTAGCCCAAATGCTCATCTGTGAATAAATGGAGAAACAAAATGTGATATAAATAATGAGATATTATTTTATCTTTAAAAAGGAAGGCATTTCTAGCATATGTTACCACATGGATGAACCTGAGGACATTATGCTAAATGAAACAAGCCAGGAACAAAAACACAAATACTGTATTGATTCCACTTATATGAGTAGTCAGATTTGTGGACAGAAAGTAGAATGGTGGGCTGAGCATGGTGGCACATGCCTGTAATCCCAGTGGCTCGGGAAGCTGAGGCAGGAGGATTGAAAGCTGGAGTTCTACCTGGGAAACTTGCGTTTAATCTCCAGTACTGCAAAAAAGAAAAAAAAAAAAAAAAGGGAGGAAAAAAGAATGGTTGTTGCCAGGGAGAAATGAGAACTTACTATGTACTGGATATACAGTTAAAGTTTTACAAGGTGAAAACAGTTCTGAGGATGGATGGTGGTGATGGTGCCCAAAAATGTGAATGCATGAATCACTGAACTGTACACTTAAAATGGTTAAGATGGTAAAATTTTTATATTTTACCACAATTTAAAAATTGTTTATTTATTTAGACATTTAATAAGTTGTCATATTGGCGGCCCTATAGTGTGGTAATTTATAGTATGCGTTCTGGAGTCAGAATGCTCATGTTCAAATTACCAGTCCATTATCTTCCTTCCTTCCTTCCTTCCTTCCTTCCTTCCTTCCTTCCTTCCTTCCTTTCTTTGGTTTTCTGAGACAAAGTTCAAGGCTGGCCTTGAACTCATTATGTAGCCTAGGCAGGCCACAAACTTGTGGTGATTCTCCTGCCTCAGCCTCCCAAGTGCTGGGATTACAGGCATGTGCCACCACTCCTGGCTTTTCAAAAAAAAATCTGTAACATGAGGATAAGAATAGTATTATCTTATCGGTCTGTGTGAATGTTACAGGAATCAATACATTGAATCTGACACATAGAAATAGTCAATGTGAATTAGGTATTATCTAATTATTCTGATATCTGATCTTTGGGGTACCAAATTGACTGTTTTTAATGATTCCCTTCTCTGATCTTTAATTGTGATCTCATATTTAAGGGATCTGAGAATCCTGAGGCTCTAAAAAGTGAATTTTTCTCTTCAGACGGTCTTTCACTCAGAACTTCCTGTGCCCCTCAGGTGTCTCTGCCTCATGGGGAGCAGCAGATTCAAATCTTGTCTGCAGTGGGTCTGGGCTTAGTTCTGATTTCATCCTTCATGGAGGTTCCTGTTGTTTATCCTAGGGCAACCTGAAATTTTAGTTTATTGCTTCTAGATCTCCACTTTAATGTCAACTCATGGTTCTGATGGTTTGTTAATTTTCTTTGTTTATCTATTTATTTTTTGGCCATTGAAGATTTCTGTTATTTCCTAAGAGTCTTGTAAGGCATTGACAAATATCTTTTATCTAAGATCTACTTTTCCTTCCGTACTATGGATTGAACCAGGTATTACTGAACTAGCTCTCCAGTCCTTTAAAAATTTTTTAATAATTTTTTTTTGGGGGGGTACTGGGGATTGAACTTGGTACTTGGCCTCTCTGGCTTCCTTGTTGGCAACACACTGTTGTCCTAACTCAGCAGAACTGGTCTCTGTGTTTCCTTTTCCCTTTGCCTCTACTTTGGGAAATGCTTCCTCAGTACCCTTCAACTCCAGGTGAGAAAATAAAGGGTTAGTTCTTAGCAAGTCAGCCAGAAGATTTCAACTGATGGCAAAGATTTGACACACCTGTTTAATGATAGCAGCCATACAAGTATCAATAATAACAGTTTTAGTATATGTGCTGCTGAAGTGAGCACATCAATAATAACAGTAATAGGTAGCAGTAGTCATGTCCACAGTACAACACTACATTTTACATTACACTTGGTTCCTTGCTCCAGGGGGCTTGGAGGTGGGTGGAGGAGAGGGCTTGCCAAGCCCTTTCCTCTTCCATTCAGTCCTTAGTGCTCTGGGCTCTCATGAAAGAGCCACTTCCATTTAGTAGAGAAAGGTTCCTTCTCACTTCTGCAATGCCTCTAAAGCCTGGTTCCCAGGCTGGTTCTGTTCAGTGCACTGCGTCACTCCTTGGAGGTGGCTGAGTTAAGGCAGCTGACTTCCTTCTGCGTGTCTCTGGGGTGTGGGGTCTCTTTCAGGAGCAGAAGCCCTTTGCTGATCCAAGCAATCCTGAGACTGCAGGCAGACAGCTGTGCCCGAGGGAGCTCTTGCTCTGAATCTTAATTCTGGGGGTCTCCAGGTGGGCAGGGCAGGGGGAAGCAGCTCAGCACTTCAGAGGGACAGCAGTATTACATCTCAGACTAGAAAGAAAGAGAAGGATGAAGAGAAAATCAGAGGATTTAAAACTGGACAAAGTGGTGACAAGTCCAAGATTATCTTCCCTTGCTGAAGTTCTTTGCTCTTACTCTCCAGGGACCAGGGAGTCTCCTAAACTCTCCCACCCTTTTCCTTAGCAGAATCTCTCTGGAAAGGATATGACAGTCCCTTTCTGTTAGAAAATAGAGAATGATAAATCTCCACGTGTTCCATACCTTAAGGTACATGCATCTAACAGGAATCTCTGACCTAAGGAGTTTCAGTCTTCATGGAGGAATCTCAGGCTGACACTTGTTGGGAGGGAAGCTTATTTGAGATGTAAAGTGTTGTCAGATCCGTGGTAGTCAAATCGGAGGATGGAGGGTGGAGAGAGAGAGGAAGGGCACCACAGTGACACAGACGTGCTCACCTGCCTCACGTTGTAGATCCAGTTAAGATAGGATGTGACCTTGGTGTACACTCCTGGGGTACTTGGCCCACCACAGCCGTAGCCCCAGCTCACAATGCCTACCACCTGCCACTGCTCAGACTGGTACATCAGGGGTCCCCCGCTGTCACCCTGTGAGAGGTCAGAATAAGAGTGGCTGAGAGGGCAGGGCAGTGGGGTGGCCTCCTTTCTTCTCTCCCTAACCTGGCCTATCTGCTCCGCTGCACTCTCCTGAACTCTCTGCTCTTCCACCCTCCACATTCTGAATCTCAAATGCTATTTCCTCCTGGGGCAAGGGGCCTCTGTCTGTGGTCAAGTGAGTTGTGGGTTGGCTGTTGCCATTGCTCAGAGGGGCACAACTCACACCAGCAAAATGAAGGCTCTAAAGGGCCCTTCCCTCGAAGGAAGCCTGGTATCTTTGTTTCACGGGGTAGTTCCTAACTTAATCTAGCACCACGTACAGAGTGCCTATTAGGTACTGTTGTGGGAAATTGAGGTTCAATTCATGAAGAAAAAACCCCCAAAGATCTCGTCCCTCAGGAAGATTAGAATCAAATGGGATGAGAGAGCCAGTAAACAAGCAAATAACAAACAATAAGTAAATGTCAGGTAGTGAAAAATGCACTCCTCTGAGTCATCTCATTACCGGCTTCCATCTTCTGAACCCATTAGCACTACAGCCCAGCTGCCTGTGTGAGCATGTCCACCCCCTGTGAGCTTGCCCAGGGCAGACACTGTTCTCCAAACCCCCAGTGTTCACAACACACAAGAGATGGCTAAGAGATGTCTCTTTAATGACTGGCATGGATGGGATTGGGAATAGAGTTTGGAATTTTAATGAAAATTGTTCTGAAGACCCTCTGGGAAGTACAGGTGCTGGGGGGATTGCTAAACAGCCATGATGGCCAGTAGGGCTGGGGGAGATATGTATCAGGGCTTATCCAGCATAAGATGCTTTTTTTAAAATTTTATTCCAGTAAGGTTTAGGATCTTAGCACAGTCACAGAGAAAAGAGATTTGGTGTCCCTGTCCTCAAGGGGTTTACAATATTGTAGAGGATGAAAACTAAGGGTGGGTGGGGAAGGTGAGTAAAATCATCTTTGTACAGGAACAAGACATTTGAAATCTTTCTGTTTGCTTGGATCCATCTATCCAGTCACTCATCCATTCTTATATCTTTATCTGACTACATTCCTTTCTTCCTACCCTGTCTCCCATCCTCCTTTCATCACACACTGAGTGTCTGCCATAGGCGAAATGTCATGCGAGGTATTCAGCATTTGGGTTTTCATATCTCTGTAGGTCCTGCATCCCTATCATACAACTCCCCACAAAGCTTGGAGGCCCCACCTGGCAGGTGTCCACACCACCACCTGGGACACCTGCACACAGCATCTTCTCAGTGACTTCTCCTTGGTATGCATCCTCTGCATTGCACCGCGTGTGATCAATGACCTGGACTGAAGCCTGCAGCAGAGTGTCAGACATCTTCCCTGGGAGGTTGAAAACACACATTCTCATTCTTATCATCTATTTCTAGCCCAGGTTGATTCTCTGGGTCACCAAATCTCTTTGCATCATCTCAAGGACTTTGGGGCTTGGTTTTCCAGAATGGACTTTTCCAAAGATTGATTCTCCTCCCCATCATCTATGGGAACTTCTCCCTTGTACAAGGACATCTCTTGCCCTACATGATGTTCATAATGTTTTTTGTTTTGTTGTTTTTTTCTAATAAAGTTTAGCATCTTAGTGACAGTCACAGAGAAGAGAAACTTAGTCCAGGACTTACCTCCATTCTGTTCTGTAAAGCCCCATCCAACAACCCAGAGTGGGGTGGCTGAAGCAAGCTCCTCATCAAAGAAGGGCAGGCAGGTGGGCCTGACTGTGTCTGCCAGGAGCAGAGGAAGAGAAAGACCCTTTATTAATGATGTTTTAAAAATTGTGTGTTTTAGGTAGCTTTGACATGTTGAGGAGCTTCCTGATCTGGGAGAGACTTGGTTAGCTAATTCCTAGAGATAATAAACCACTGGCTTGTGAGTATGCTGTTAAGCTACAAACCAACCAAGTCAAAGTACACACCCCCAGCCACCTTCTTTATCTAACTATTACACACAAATCCAGCACTTTCTTCTTCCCTACATTACCCCAGGGCCAGGACCTTGACAACTGAAGACCAACCTCTTTGGTCTGGAGAGTTACTCTCACTATCCTGTCCCAAACTTGCTCAAATTCACCTACTCAACCTCACAGTGCCTGGAACCACAGTCAGGACTCCAGGCTGTGAGCAACCCCCTCCCCAAGCGGCCCTGACCTGGTGCCTCCCCACAGGGCCCTGCATGCCCCCTTCTCTCAGGAACTGTAGCTAGTAAACTCTCCTTTCAAAGGCAGTTGTCTCTATGTCTGTCACCTTACTGGTACTGATTAAAAGAGATGCCAGTCCAAAATCATGAAAGAGAATCAGGTTTCAGGAGACTCTGGCAGCTAAGCCCTCTGATAGGAACCCACCACTTGCTCTGTGGGATGCTGGGAGAAATGATATGAAACAAGAGAGTATGTGGTCAAATAAATTCAGAAATGTGGACTCCAGTCAAGCATGTTGGTACACACCCATAATCCCAACATTCTGAGAGGCTAAGACAGGAGGACTGTGAGTGTAAGTTGGAGACCAGCCTGCTGGGTAACTTAGTAGACTTGGCAAGACCCTGCCTCAACCAAAAGAAATATAAGTGTGAAGGGCCTGGGTTTTGTCTTCAGTATCCCCCCCGCAAAAAAAAGTGGGTTTCATAAGATAGAAGAGGTCCTTTACAACAGCTGATAGGCTCCAAGAATGGAATTACATTATAACAATGATTCCTAAACTCATCTGACAGTGAAACTCTCTTCCCCTGAGTGCCTATGTCCTGTGTCCCCCTCACAGATGGAAATACTAATCTGAAAATCATAAGCATGGGGCAGCTTATGGAACTGTTCAAAGATTCTGTGAGGTGCCTTAGAAGTAATGCGCTCCCCACCTGTGCAGTGGCACAGTGACGCATCGGCATGAATACTGTTAGGCTCTCGAGCACAGCTCAGGAGTGGGGAATAGACAAAGTGATCCTTTAAAAAGGTCCCTTACAACTCCAAGATTGGGTGAATCTGATTCTCATGTGTGCTCCAAATGGAGAAAAGACCTTAGAGGAATCTGGGGCAGGGAATGGTGTGCTGGTAGATGGCAGCTTGAAGGGGAGGTGATCATGCGAGACTGGGCTGATGAATTAGTCAGAAACAGATGGGCAAGCTGAGGTCTTGAGAGGGGAAGTGACTGGTGAGTGCAGAACAAGCAAAGGGGCTTGCTTGGGTCACCACCGCTCACCTGAGAATGTAAGTGGGAGCTGTAGCCTTACGAGGGCGATGTCTTTCTCTTTAGGGTATGAGCTATTTTGCTCAGCGATGAAGATCTTGGCCACAGGCAGAGATGGGAAATTGTCCAGTTTGTCAAAGCCAGCCCTCACCTTCCAGTTGTACAAATCGAGATGTTTCCTGGGGGAAGATACAGCTGGCTTTAGGCCTGAGCCAAACCCAAGGAGATGCGGGTAAGTGTTGGCTTCCTGGGGCCCTGTGGATGGTGCTACCTAATATGATGATGGGAGTATGGGGGTACAGAGGTAGAGAAGGGCAGTCAAAGGAGCTGCCTTTCAAGAGCCAAGTTCTAAAAGGGTATCTGATTCTTTTTCTTTGGTGAAACGTGCCCAGGGAAACTTCTCCTGGGAGTGTTGGGGAAGGGGTTGTCCGATGGCTGAGCCCTGACACTCTTTCTTCTCATCTTTGTTCTTTCTGGAGAAAGGGTCTTGCCATATATGTAGTTCAGGCTGGCTTTGAACTTGCTATGCAGCCCCAGCTGGCCTCAAACTTGTGGTGATCCTCTAGCTTTAGGCTCCCAAGTGCTGGGATAATAGGTGTGTGCACCACGCCTGGCTCCCATCTTGTTCTCGTCTGTGTTACTCATGTGGTACTCATACTGTGGTCAGTCATGCATGGGCGCATCTGTCTTTCTTCCCATTCCAAACAGTTCAGTGTGCAGTTCTTCCGGGAAAGGATTTATAGCTCTTACCAGATTCTCAAAAAGGTTAGAACCCCTGGACTGGCCCTGCCCAGGAGTGCCTCGAAGGCAGTGATGGGGTCTGTGTGATGCAGCGGGTTCAGTTCCTGGCAGGCACTAGTGAGATGTTGAATGAATGAAAGTGAAGAGGGCCTGGGTGTGGCCCTTCCCAGTGGTATGGCCAGGTCTGTCTCTGCTGGATCCAAAGGGAGACTACACCTGTTTAAATTTCTGGGCAAAATGACAGTGATCCTGTATCTTGGGACCACTTCCTGAAAGATAGGAGGGAGTGAATATTTAGGCCCCAGGAAGGTGGGAAGAATTTTTGTGGAGTGAAGGATATGAGGGGTGGGCTGTGGTGAGCGAGGACCCTGGCTATCTGATGGCTTTCCACCTCATAGAGGTCAAGCTTGGGACCAGCACCCTCAGCTCAGACCCCAATACCTAGTAAAGGGCACTCTGGCTACTACACCTTAGCAGTGGTCTCCAGGGAAGGGTGAGTGGGCACTGGAAAGTAAGTCAGAGGCAGGGCCCTTCATGGCCTTGATCCCTGGGGCCTTACCTGAAGCAGTGGGCTGCTGTGAGGATCCAATAAGGGTCCAGGATGCTCCCTCCACAGATATGCTGCTTGTTGTACTGGATGCTGACTTGCCAAGGCCAAGAATCCACAGATGCCTCTTGCCCGCCCACCACCCGAGGAGTCTTTGCGATCCTCCCACAGGCTGAACTCAGCAGCGAGGATGGAGAAGAGAAAGTCAGGCTGAGGGTTGAGGCAGCAGCCTGAGAACCCACCTCTACCCTCAGGACTGGTTCTGGAGGGTTGAGAGGCCGGCCAGTCTTGAGTTGTTCATGGGGAGATAACTGAGGGTCCCAGACTGGAGGCTTTTGCTCAAATTTCCCTCTCTGTTTTTCTGAGTTTGGATTGTACACATGGGTGTGTCCACTGTGCTGGGAGTTTATGACTTTGCAACTGAACAGGGATGCAGAATGACAAAAGCCCTGCCCAGGTGGAGTGTCCTGACCTCTCCCCTGAGTAACAGTACACAGATGTCCACAAGCTACTTTGGCATCAGGAAGTGGGAAGAAAGCAGCAGAAATGGATCTTCCCATCCCAAACTCATCTTTCTCCAAGGTCCTTCTTCCTGTGAAGGGCAGCTCCTAGTCTCCTGCCTGCCTTCCCCCTCACATCCACACGTTCTCACATCCAACCCTTGATCCCTGTTAAATCTTCCAATCCCACCTCCCCATCCTGTTCTCTGACTCTCTAACCTTTCTGGCAGAAGTGGTCCTTGCAAGAGTGAGAGGCTGTTGCCCTTTTCCTGTGTGCCTGGCACTGTGCTAGGTGGGGGCTTTTCAAAGTCCTCTGATTTCAAACACTGCCACTTTGCTCACACACACAAAGCCCATTTGTTGGTAAGGCAGAGTGTAAATGCTCTCTGGCAGCCTCTCGTTGTCTTTTTTTGGAGGTGGTGGGATTGAACTTGGGGCCTTGTACATGCCAGGTGAGTGCTGTACCACTAAGCTACATTTCCAGCCCCCTGCTGTCTTCATATTAAGTTTCCTTCTAGCTGGTTTCATTTCCTTGTATCTCCCTGCTGTGGCTGAATATGTTTTAAGTATGACCCCAAAGCTTCATGTCTGAGACCTCCGTCCTCAGTGGTAGTGTTGAGGTAATGGGACCTTTCAGAGTGGGGCCTGGTGGCCCTTAGGATACTGAGGAGCTAGCTGCCTTCAGAAGAGATGCAGGGAATTCTCACAGGATCTCTGAGCTCTTAGGAGAATGAGTTGTGATAAGAATCAGCCTGACTCCTGTGTCATTCTGTTTTCCTATCTTGTGATGTGATTTCTCACTCTTGTGTGTACTTCTGTTATGATTCACTATTTGAAGTTAGGCCCTCACCAGAGGGCAAACCAATGGGGCTACTTGATTTTGACCTTCAAAACTGTGAGCTAAATAAACCTCTTTTAAAAAATAAATTTAGCCTGCTTCAGGTATTTCATTACAGTAATGAAAAACTAATACTGTACAGTAGTACACTGAGGCCACGGGCTGTGATCAGATGGTAGAAGAGAGTTCTTAACTTCAGTTACTTGAAGGAGAACTAATCTATAAGCTCAATGGCTGAAAAACAAAAGTTGGGCCAAAGTAGAGTGAAACTTGGATTCTGGGAGACTTAGGAATGAGGATGAAGGTCTTCCTCCCTGCTTGTTGCTGGCCCAGCGAGATGCAGCATACTCACCAAGGCAGTGCAGAGAAACCAGGGAGCCTGAGACACAGGGTCTGCAAGAGAGCACAGGGCAGGCTGGGGCTTTGGCTCAGTGGTTCCACCACCTGCTTCGCAAGCACAAGGGCCCAAGTTCAATCCCCAGTACAAAAAGAAAGAAAGAAACAAAGAAACAAAGAAAGAGCACAGGGCTCTGTGGGTTCCATTTCCCCCTTGCCTGGGAGGCAAGGACTCAGGCCTTGTGACAATGTTGATTCCAGTCCCTTTCCAATACCTGGGAAATCTGGAACCTGGATAATGGGGACTATATAGAAACTGCATTACCACTCAGTGCAATTCTTTTTTTTTTTTTTGGTACGGGGAATTGAACTCAGGTTCTTGTGCTTATGAAGCAGGCAGCAGAACCACTGAGCTAAATCCCTGGTCTCAATGCAATTCAATTTGATCCAACACCCCCATGAATGAACATCTACTATGTGGAGGGCTCTGTCCAGTTCAAAGCCCAGCTTAGGCTCCTGGCAGCCTGATCAGGAAAAGAACACTGCACAGAAGAGTCTGCTGTGCTGCAGGCTTTCCAAACGGTAGAATAGGATTTTAATGGCATTTGAGGCAGTCGTTTTAGTACAAACCCTGTCCTTTTCAAGATTTACTCTGATGAATAAGCAGCTCTCAGAAACATCCTTGAATGCTAAGAAGCCAGCGTCCTCTCTAAACCACCCTGCTGCAGTGTGACACATCTCATTTAGATGCTGTGTTCTAACGCAGGGCAGTGATTCGAGAGCCACAGGGCCTCTCCCCTGGAGCAGTGGGAATGTTGGGAAGTCCTACTTTGGCTCGGGTTAGTGGTGGGGAAAGACAACGTGACTTTTGGAAAGTGGCTGATTGAGCAATTTTTAGCGAACATAAGGCAGTAGCAAGAGACATTTGGCTTTCTGTTCAGATTGATAGAAAGGTCAGTTTATTCACCTCCCTGCTTTTGGGTAGGACAAGATGCTTTGTCCAGCTGGCCATTGTATTAAAAAAGTCAACACAGAAAACCATCCAGAAATGTGATGCTATAGCTCTTTGCACTTAATGGTCTATAGCTTTAAGAGTTCTTCTTGCTGTTTGTCTTATATTCTTCTTGCTGCTGGCCTCTTTAGGCTGAGCCAGATACAGCCCTAGCAGCCTCCATGCATGGCCTTTGCAGATCAGAAGAGGTCCATCACTTACCCACTTGAGTTTTGCACCTGAAGCTCTTGGCTGTTTTCTGTGACTTCAACGACTTCCAGATCCTGGTCCCAGCTAATCTTCACAGGTTTGAAAGCAGGTTGGCTGTGGGAGGAAGTAAGAGCTGTGACCTGGGGGGAGGTGAGAACAAGATGGCAGGAGCAGCCGGCACTTTCAGGAGAGAGGGTGGCAGAGAATGGCAGTGGGGAACAACAGGGGAGTGGAGGTGGTCATGGCCAGACTTGGGTGGGACTTGTTTTGCTATACAGTAAGGACTTCCCCTTGGCATTCTGGACTCAGCCCTGGGCACAGTGCTCATGTGCCCTTGATTTCTTGGGTGGGGACCCCTAGTCCAGCACCCAGAGCTCTGGAGAAATGTTAGAGATCTTCTTTTTAAATGTCCAGCTCTGTCCCTGGTTCAAATGTCCTAGCAGTATTTTCTGGCTCACAGCAAGGGGAACAAAGATTCTTGGGCAGGTCACATTCCTTTTCTGTGTCTCTCTAAACCTCAGTTTTCTTCTTGGTAAAATGATGGATAGACCAGATGACCCCTAGGGTCACACCTATGGTTTTGTGGTCTTAGAACAAGAAGTGATTCTAATCCAGGCAGAGGAAAGAAAGTAGAGAAATCTGAGTAGAGGGATCTACCCCAAGAAAGACAATACTGGAAATGGACATTCCCAGGAAAGTTACCTTCTATTCATCAATTATGGCCTGATGAATAATTCTAATGAAATTTGATTTTGTGGAGTCTAAGAGCTAGATGGTTTGGTGCCTTCGTGATCTCTAGAAGGACAGAAATGCCTAGAGCCAGCCTATCATCATAAGAACCCCAGGAGATATCCAAGTTTTGGAATCCAGCCTCAGCCTGCTGGGCCAGGCACAGTTGATGCTGCAGTTGCCGAGACTGCAGTGGGAGGTGGGGCTGGCTGCAGCCAGGCTGGATCAGAGCATCTGCAGGAGGAGGGGAGAATAACAGGGACCAGACATGCCTTCCAACTGCCTTGAACATGAAGGTGCAGGGTGCGCACTGAGGGGTTGCACCCATGGAAGGTGGAAAGCGGCAGAAGCCTGATAACTGGAGAGCAGAGAGGCATATGGGCCAGGTTGATTTGTAAAGGCTTCCTGAAGCATTTGTTGAAAAGGACCCTGAAGCTGCTTTAGAGATTCACGGTACAGAGTTCTGTGATTGCCTAGTAGTTAACATCTCATCTTTGGGCCCAGTTTCTCAGAATCCTAGTTTGGTGCCTGCTAGGGAGAGGCTATCCCACCCTGTAAACGAATACATGTGCTCTTTCCCATCTTCTCCAGGTTGGTTTTCTGGGTAATAGTGGTCCCACGTCCCTTCCTCATACACGAAGCCCCAGGAGAAAAGAGAATTTCCCAACGTTCAAACCCAAGACCCTCCAACTCCCGAAACAAGGGGTCTCATGCACACAAATGCTAGTCCTCTACCTCCAAGCTCCTACCTAAGTAAGTGACTTTCTCTGAGTTTACTTAGAACATAGATCTATTAATAACTATGTTTCTGGTTTTCTTCCAAGAGAATATAAATATATATGATGCTAATTATGCTTTTTATAATTATGTACCTTCCATCCACTCCAGATTTGGAACAGCTTTTGGAATTTGTGAAAAGAGCTGGGATTGCTGTTGATGGGGCCCCAGTGAAATCAGGATTATTTCAACTAAATTTTCACCGATGGGACTTTGATAAGTAAGTTAGGCTTTGGTATTACTGGACAGGGAAGGAGTGAGGACTGAGGAGTAAAGAGAAAAAAAAAGGACTTCAGAGGAGCTGGAACTGAGTGTATACAATGTGTGTCAGTGTATGTGTATGGATATGGACTGTGTGTCAGTGTATGTGCGAGTGTACACACATATGGATGTGTGTGTGTGTGTGTGTGTGTGTGTGTGTGTGTGGTGTATGTTGGAGGGGGCTGCATACATTCTCTTGTTGGCACCCCATACACGTCCCATGAAGCTTGTAATACTTCCCTGATTAACTCTTGAGGAAATAGGCTGAGGAGCTTTACCTTTGTGTTGATTGTGAGTGAATCAAAGGCAGTTCTATCTGACTCCATTATCTGAGTTTTGAAAATAGAAAGAGGAAGGAACAGGGAAAGGAGGAAGAGGATACAAGAAGAAGGAAGGAAGAAGGAGAGAGGAAACTGCAGGGGCAAGGTGACAGCCTTTGGTGGCATAGGTGGGTACCTGTCATAGCCCATCTGCCCACAGGCTATCTTGGCCAGAGCGTCTGTGAAGTTGTCATAACAGGCAGAGGCCCAGTTCCCTGTGGTTGGGTCCAGCACCTGCAGGGTGGATCGGTCCTTGGAGAGGCGGACTGGGAGGGGAGGAGCCTGGGTCAGCTGGAGGGTAGGGCCCCCCTGGCCCAGTCCCTCAGAACTCATCATGAGAACTCAACTTACCCCAACCCAGAACTGGGGACATCACAAGCACTGACACTTAAAAAAAAATAGGCCAGGATTTAGCTCAGTGATGTCCCTGCCTGCCTCACAAGTGCAAGGTCCTGAGTTGGATCCCAGGTACCCCTCCCCACTATAAAGGGATTTCATAGGAAGGAAGAACTCCCCAAGGTCAACCCAACTAGTCCTCTTTCCCAAAAAGAAGCAGGTACAGCAGGAAGTGAGGCAGACTCAGTTACAATTTCCTGTCCCCTCTGTCCAGTCCTTACTGAGTTCATGATTTCCATTACATGTTGGGATCTAGAGATAGACATGGCAGGGTCCTGCTCTGGTGAACCTTATTGTACAGGGATGGACAAATCAGTAGGCTGGCATTGTATGTGACCCCAGGGACCTGAGGAGGCTGCTGGGCTCACTCTTCTCATGCCCTGTCCCCACCTGGACTCACCTGTCCCAGCAGGCTGCTCAGGGAAGTTCCTGACACAGGGTTCCTCGTCCTCCCCTGAGGCACAGTCAGGGTGGCCGTCACACATCTGCTCCCTTGGGATGAAGTGCAGAGAGTTCTGGCAGATGAAGTAGTATTTATCCAGGATCACCTTGACTGGAAGGCAAGAGCAGAGAAGGGCAGAGAGGGCTGAGGGTCATGCAGGCAGTGGGGGTAGGGAGAGGCTATATTTTTCTGAAAGTTACTATGAGACTTGGAAACAGGCAGATATGGGTCCAAGGCCCAGTTCTGCTGCTTACTAGCAGATCTACCTCATCCTGAGCCTCAGCTTCCTTATTTGAAAGTGGAGATAATAGCACAAGCCCCATATCTATAAGATGGCGGAGGGGTCCAGTGTGAGAATGTGTGTGTGGGAAATTGAGAAATGGGTTCTACTGGTGTCTTACCCTGGCTCAGGTAATGATGGAGGTGACACATGGGAAACTTGGGGTCCTAAGACTTGGTTCTGGCTCTGCTACTGACTGTATGCCTTTACTTCCTTGGCTAGGACAGTTTCCTCCTCTGCACCATGGGTGGTGAGAAAGGTGGTAAGCTGGTAGTTATGAAAATGTCTTGTAACTTTTAAGTATAGTTCTAAAGGTGGACATTTTGATCTGAGATTGAAAGCCTCATGAAGAGATTGGTGTTTGGTTTTCTGCCTGGTGTCTTAGGATTCTGCCTGCTGCATTCACTTCTGTGGCTCCTTTGCCGTCTTAGGCAGATGAGAATGCATTTAGTGTAATTAATCCCTTAGGGAACAGATATTTCCAGAAGTTTCTTTGGTGATGACATAGCCAGACACCCTGTTAGGAAGGAATTCATCTTTCCTAGTGGATTCTCTTCCATCCAGCATCAGCTGGTGGCAGAAGGTCTATGATGGCCCCTGCTTATCACTGTGCTAGGAAATTTCCACACTGTTCCTCGTGTAACAGTGTGCCAGGTTGTTTCTGGCAACAACTTCAGGAGGCACGTGTCATTTTAACTTATGTCACCAATAAGGAGCCCGAGGATGGGAGAGTTAGAGTTTATTTCCCAAAGCCTCACAGTGCTCATATGGTACAACCAGTCTGTCCACCTCCCAGAAAGAGCCAAAGATGGGATCTCCTGGCCCTGATGCTCCTGCCTTGAGTGAAGTAAGAGAGAAGGAGCAGGCCAGGAATATCCTAGACCTTCCAAGTTTGGCTCATGATTAGGAGCCAGGATAAGACAAGACCATCCTAGCCTTCCGGGACAAAGCCAGGAGATCGGGTCAACAGTTGCTAGCCCAGAACCAAAGCACCGAGGGAGCCCAGCCCAGGGTGGAGGATTTGTTTGCCACCTCTGATTCCAGAATTGGGAGGACCCAGAGCACGGAAACTATGAAGGGCCTTCTGGGACAGGAAGAGTCAAACTCTAAATGATGATTTGGAGCCTTTCTGGCTTCCCTTGGATAAATTTGGCCTCTCCTTTTCCCACTGTGGCAGAACATATGCTCAGAGAAAGCAAGCTTGCTTTAATACTAGTCTGAATAAGACAGGGTGGAAGATTTGTCGGGGCACTGTAGATCCACCACTGTAGTTTGGCTCTGGGGCATCTCCCAGAGACCAGGTCCCCTGAAAGTCCTATTGGGAGGTGGGGGACCTTTGGGATGGGGTCTAGTAGGAGGTCTTTAGGTCACTGGAGGTGTTCCTCTGAAGGGGACTGTGGCAACCAGCCTCTTTCTCTTTCTTTTGCTTCGTGATGTAAGAGGGTTTGCTCTGCCCTATAGTCCTGCCACGATGCGCTACCTCAACGTGGGCCCAAAAGCAGTGGGGCAAACCGATCATGAACTGGAATCTCCAAAACAGTAAGCCAGAAATAACTTTCTTTCTCTGTATAAGTTGACTATCTCAGGTATTTTGCGACGGAAGTAGAAAACTGACTAACACAATCACTGACACATAGGGACAGCCAAGGTCAAGAAGAAATGTTTTGAAGTTGTTTGTGTCAAACACCTATCCAAAGCTCTCAGGGACTTAGGTGGTGTTTGTAGCATGGATCTGTACTTCTATTTCCATGAGATGGAATTGGAACTGCTTACTCAGAGGCCTGGGATCCTCTTCCAGATTTGTTCCTGACTGCTACGCCTTTTGAGCCTCAGTGCTCCGTTATAAAATGAGGCAATCTCTGGATGTCCTCTGACAAGGTTGGTGGCTGCCACTGGTGTAAATGCCACCTTAGTTCCAAGTGCAAATGGGTTTTCCCAGGCTGCCCAGATAGTCCTGCCTGATGAGCAAACACACACCCTGGGTCACATCTCAGCACCCTATGTGCTGACACACAGTTGCACGACTTGGTTTTTTATCCACGTTTTCCCCTTGGTAATGTTGCTTGGAGAAAGGCAGAACATTTTATAGGTGAAGAGTTTGAGGGTAAGAGAGATTGAGGGGCCCATTTGGGGTCACACAGCAGCGAGTGGCAGAGCTAGGGTTTCCCTCCCACATGTCCCGATTCCTCATCTGGTCTCCTGTGTCTTAGTTCCTGCTGTGGTCAGTAACCTTCTGGGACTGTGAGGATGAAGGCAAGGACTCAGCTGCAGCGTATGGGAGCTGGAAGTGGCAGTGGGAGTCACTTACTGCTCATACAATTTAATCTTGTTTGTCGCAGAGTGGGCTACTCGAGCACAGGGGCTCAGACATTCACGATGATGAAGACAGAGCTGAAGGTGGGGAGGGCTGCCACCTTCCCCGAGGTCTCCTCTGTGCCTCACTGGCAGAAATGCTTCCTGTCTTGGCAGCATCAAGGGCTGCTCAGACCCACACAGCTGTCAATCTGCAGGAGACGGGAAAGAGGAGGCAGGGGTGGTGCCCTGCAATTGCCTGTGTGGGTTTGTGAGTGTGTCTCATGTGCAGAAGAAATCTGGGATAGATGGGGAGAGAGGGATGGGGCTGAGTTCATCTTTCCCTTTCACTCTTAGAAGAAGGCTCCTTTCGAAGCAGGGGTGGATGCACTTTTTCTTTTTTGTCTTTGCATGGCTTTGTGCAGATCACCCACCTATGACTGTGGGGGTGCAGGATGCAGGTGGAGATGCCACTCATAGCTCTGGGTAAGTGAGGCAGGGTAGTGTCACCTACACAGGGGGTGAAAGTTGGCTAGGGGCTTTCACTTACTGAGGACAGCCACAATGATGATGGCCATCAGGCTCAGCAGTGCCACGATGATGGGGATCCCCACCTTTTTGAAGGTCTCCATTGGTGTGCGGGGCTTGTGCAGATGGGTGGCACCTGTAGGAGGTGTGAGGCAGAGGGGAAGAGCATATGGTTAGTGCTTGGGGCCTCCCTGGCCTGTGGCAGGATTGCCCTACAGACCGGGCCACTTTGCACGCTTTCCCCTCCCCGAGTTTACCCGTCTCTCACAAGCACTCCGTAAATGAACCTGCAGCCCACACTGCCCTCCTATCTTTCCCTAGAAAGTGATGGCGAGCCCTTTAAAGTCTGAGTGCCCAAATTGCAACCCCAAACCCCCAAACCCACTTATTTATCGCAAAGTGCCATCACTGCAATTAAATCTGAATACTGAGGTTTTAGTTTAGAAAAATCAACTCACTCATACATTGACATCTTTTGTCTGAAAAGAAAGGCACAATAACACACATGCCATAGGTTTGCTGCCTCTGCCCTAGCCCGTCTCCTAGGATGTGTGGCCCTTTTCAATCTGCTCCATGCCTGCTCTGGGACAGGCCCAAAGCCTGCATGAATATGGTGTATGTTCATTGTACTATCATTCATCCTTTACCTGACTTCCTGACATATTTTAAAATATCTTTTAATTTTTAATTGACACATAGTAAATATACATATTTATGGGCTGCACTGTGACATTAAAGTACATGTATACAATGTATGATGATTGGATAAGGCTAACTGGTATATCTGTCATCTCAGACATTTGTCATTTCTTTGTTTTGGAAACATTCAAAAACTCTTTTAAAATGTAATTAATTGTTAGACACACTTTCCCTACTGTGCATTAACATTAGCTGTATTCCTACTGTACTTCTTGTACATGAACATTAGATGTGTTCCTCCTCTCTATCCCTGATTTATCTTTTGATTAAACCGTATGCTCCAGGAGGGTAGAGCCCTCCAGCACAGTGAGAGTTGAGAGTAGCGGCTTAATAAATACTTGTGTATGGCCGCAGCCAGATGGTTTCCATCTCCAAGTTGGTCAACCATCACGTCCCTGCATTTTCCTTGTTTATGTGTGCACACGTGTGTGTATGTTTGAGACACGAGGGAATGAACTCAGGGTCTTTGTCCTAAACTACATCCACAACCCTTTTTATATTTTTTATTTTGAGATGGGGTCTAGCTAAGTTGGCCAGGCTGGAATCCTCTTGTTTCAGCCTCCCAGAGTGCTGAGATGATAGGCACATGCTAATACACCTGGCTAGTCTTGTCTTTGAGGAAATTACAGTCTGGAGAAGGGGCAAACAGGGACATGGACGGAAGTGTGAAAGATGGCATATGTTATACTAGAGACACCATCGAAGGTAGGCTGTGGATGGCTTCTTGAGCAGGAAACACTTGGATGTAGGTAGCGATGGGGGATGACGTTGCTGGACCAGCCCTGGCATGGCATGGAGTGGAAACTGAGCAGGCCTGGTGACCTAGAATCTGAGGTGGATCAAAGCATGTTAGGAAGCAGGCGAACAAAGTCAGTTTGTGAGGACTCGAGAAAGCCATGCTAAAGATGACTTTAGATTTTATCCCGAAGACAGTGAGGAGACATGAAAAGTTTTTAAGCAGTAGAGAAAAATGATAAAATTAATTTTTAGGAGGAGGAATCATTCACCAGGGAGGAGGTGGGCTGAAACAAAAGAGTCTGGGATTAGGGAGATGAGGTAGGAGCCCATTGCTGCCTAAAACAGGTAATAATTGCAGGCGCACCTCACAAAGCTGTTCAAGGAGATGGGACGTGGGAACAGCTGTGAAAAGTTAGGTTCTCAGTAAGTAGCAGAGGTGGGTTCTTGCCAGTACCCTCTCCTTGCAGATGAGTAAGCAGCAAAGCTGCTCTGTGGACCTCTCCTCCAGGAAGAGCTGGGCAAAAAGTACCGTAGTTGGAGAGAGCTGAGCAAGCAATAGGTTGGTTGTCTGACATATTGTATATTTTACATGTTTTGCATGTTTCCTGTCTTCCCCCGCCCCCAAAATGAAGATCTATGAAGACAGGACTGTGTCTGGTTTGTGCACAACTGAGTCCCCTGTGCCTAAAACAGCCTGCCGTGCACGAGACACTCACCAAGTGTTTGTCGAATGAATGTTCTAAGCACATCCTTTCCATCTGCCTTCAGATCTCATTTTATTCATCTTTAAATGATAGCTAGTCATCTGTCTGGCTCTATCCTTTTCCTCTACTCTTCAAAAGCAGAGAATGGCATCCTGGTAGAATCTGGTGTCCAATAAATTCTGATATTAATGCATCTGTTATAAGAGAAACCTGAAACCTCTAAAAGAGAGATATAACCTCTGACACAGGGGCCCGGTGCTGGGATGTGGGCTGGAGGGGGCATTGCCTGTAAACTGCTAGGGCCTGGCACAGAGTAGGTTATCAATAATGTTAGTGTGTACTGTTCTTTAACATTTCAGCAACCAGTCTTCATAACTGTCTTCTCTCCTGTGGATGTGGTGACGTTTTGTTTATTCATGCATGCATGATTTACTTATTGAGCACCTATCTCTGGGGACATTTTTTAGGTTTGTTTTCTTGGAGAGTGAATGATCTGCTAGGGCCCGTGAATCCCTGTGTCCAGGGCCCAAAACCTCTGCCTCCCAGATGTTCTCAGGGTCATCCTGCTTTCCCCAGCAGGAAGGGAAGGGGCTTGGTACCTCATTTAAGTTCATGAACTCACTGAGCTGTAACTGGTCTCCCTGCCTGCCATTTATCCTTCCTCCAGCCTGTCTGCCCACTGCTGCTGGTCAGAACTTCCTGACAGATGTTTATTTGTTTGTTTTTTCTTGTCTCCCTGTGGCTTCCGCATCTGGGCTGCACTCCTCCCTGTGTTTTCTGGTGTGACTTGGCCTCATTGTCCTGGCCACATGGATTTCCATAGCTAGTCCTTGCCAGTCCCCAGCCCTGCATTGGCTGGTTTGAGCCTTGGTCCAGAATGACCCTACTAATCCTCCCCTCTGAGTCTGAAGAGCTTGGCTCTTCCCTTCTCCCCTGAGACCTCATCATTCACTTCTGTCTGCTGACGATCGACTCATCCTGTAGGGCCTGGCCCAAGGTGCCATCCATCCCTGACCACTTGAGCAGCTCAAATTGCTCACGTCCTTCACACCAGGCATTTGTAGCAGATTCAGCTCATTTTCTGGCTTGGTGGTTCTCAGGCCTATGCACTGGGTGGAACCCTAGGGAGCCTGGTGTTTTTTGGGGTCACCATGGTCTGCTGATCTTTCAATTCCAAAGTATAAACAAGAGATCATTTTTATTTGCTTATTATCAATTCTCAAACCTGAAAAGAGAAGTAAACTGTCAAAGTAAGCGGGATCAGCCATTTTCTTATTGATCTGTCCATATGAATTTGGGCTTTGTTTGTTTTGCTGATCCAGTAGGCTATGTCAAGAGTAGATATCAGTGGCTTAAGAAGATGTAACAGGAGGTTAAAACAAAACAAAACAAAAAAACACTTAAATTTGGGAACATTCTATTTACTAGCTTATTTTTCTATAATAAAACAGGCAGATACTGCCATTTCCTTTCCTACCAGGGAAGACATCATTGATCAGCTTGTTATCCTGGCAGCACAGATGGCCTGTGAACTCCATGAGGGCTGTTTGTCTTATTGCTAGGGCCCAGCATCAGTCCAGGCCCTGGCAAAATTATGGCACCAGGGAATCTTTGCTCTTGGAGTTTTAGGTTTGATCATCCTGTTTCCCCAGAAACTAGGCCTTCTGCTTCTAGAATGAGTCCTGAAACTTACAGTTACTTAGTATTTGTTGAATGATGGATGAATGGGGATGGGATGTCACCTATACGATTTGGCACATGGTGGAGGTTGTGAAGGCCTTGTGAGAATAGCTCGGTATCTACTTGGTAACTGAAACTCCGAGGCTGAGGGAGACAAAGGAAAGCTGGGCTTACTGGCCTTACTGAGCTTACCGAGGCCGTTCAGAGGATGGTCACTGTTCGGATCCTGTAATTGAAGGAAAAACAGTGAGTTGAGTGAGGGAACCTTTAAGTCTGAGGCCAGCAGTCTACAGATCTTTGGTTCTTGTATGTATTCCTTTTTTTTTTTTCCCTTTGGTTTTTTGAGACAGGGTCTCACTATGTAGTTGAGACTGACCTGGAACTCACTGTGTAGCCCAGGCTGGTCTCGAACTCACAGTGATCCTCCTGCCTCAGCCTCCGGAGTCCTGGTATTCCAGGCATGTGTCACCATGCCTGGCTGTATGTATTCCTTTACCCTGCTAAATCTAAGTTGGGGATCTCTGTGAGATTTATATAATTGGTTCAAGATAAAAAAATTCAGTCATATACCTATTTGACCTGGTTTAGCTAGTTCACTAATTGATGCACTTAGCAGTTATTGAAATAATTAGTTGCTACTTGTGTGTATTGCTGAAGTTCTCAAGATAATTCTTCCTTATCTGTTTTTGTCAATAGTTTGCCTAGTTTCTGTAAAAACTTTGCAAAAGGGGATAACCAAGTGGCTAATAAGTACCAAAGGATGCTCAATGTCATTACATGTGAGGCAAATGCAGATTTAAACTATAGTGAAATATCTCTACATAGCAATCAGAGTAGCTAAAATTTAAAAAGCTGACAATATTAGGTGTTGAAGATGTGGAGCAACTGGAAATTCCATACGCTGTTTGTAGTAAATTCATACAAATAGTTTGGAAAATGGTTTGGTTAAACCTGCTAATACAAAATACATGACTAGTCTATGTTTTATCGACTCAACATTCTGATTAAGCATATAGCCAAGAGAAGTGAATGCATACATCTAGCAAAAAACTTTTACATGAATGTTCATAGTAGCTTCATTAATAATAGCTAAACAGAAGAAAAACCCCAGTGTCAATACCAGCAGAGTAGATAAATAAAATGTAGTTTATTCACATAACTCACAGAATTACAGCAATTGATAAAAACACATTAGTGTAAATACAATGACCTGGATGAAATTCATAGACATGGCAATGGACGAAAGAAACAAGGCCCAGAAGTATACACTGTATGATTCTATTTGTATGAGGTTTAAGAGGTGAAGTTAGTTTAAAAGGTCAGGATAACGGTTACGATGGAGGAAGGAGGGATGGTTATTGGAAGGAGCACAATTAAGCCTTCTGGAATATCAAGAAGCTTCTAGATCTTGTTCTGGGTGTTGGCTACGTGTGTGTTTATATGTGTAAAACCTCATTGAGAGGTTTATTTTTGATTTGAGCATTTTACTTAATGTATGTTATATCAGATGAAATGAACAAAAGTAAGAACTATCAGAATATACACTGGCACTTCTGAGAGTGTGGTCTTAGGTTATCATCAACACATACACACACACAAGACACTCCTTGCCCTTGCACACATTACTTTACATGTGTACTTAGCACATATACCAAGGCTCACATATAAAGTACACGCATCTCTTTTACTGCTGGGCAAAGGTCAAAGGGCGATACCCCGTTTCCTGCTCTCTGAGCCCTTCCTTCTCCTCCTCCTGCCTCCCAGAAGCCTTCCTACTCCTTTCCTTTCCCAGTTTGGCTGAGGGTGTGGAATTCCTGGGCTCTGTTAAGGTCTAAGTGTCCACCCAGGGACTTTCCCGATCCTTTTTGCAGAGGTCACAGTACGCCCAGGATTTTGCATATGTCCATGTTCGCTCTGCACATGAGGTCATGGCTGGCTGATGTAGTATCCAGCCAGGCGCAGTGGTCTGCAGAGGCTGAATTGGAATACAAGCTCTGTGTTTTACTGTGTACTTCGGGTAAGATCCTCAACCTCTCTGGGTCTTATGTTTACCTTTGGCAAGGTGGGGAAAAGAACACTGACTTTGAAGGGCTACTGTGAGGGTGAAATGAGCCATCTGGTGGGAAATGCTGCCATTGGCCCTCTGTGCTTCCATGATATTCAGTACATGACTTTATCACATTCCTTCTCTTGCCAGGTAGTCATTGTATCTCTCTCTCTCCCTCTTTGGTTGACTTCTTTTTTTAAATTAAAATTTCAAATTGAGAATAATTGTGTTGGTTACTCGTTCTTATTGTCTTTGTATCCTTCATGTTCAGCATCAGGCCTGTTCCTGGTAAAGACTCAATGACTTGAATGAAACTGACCTCTGGGCTCTCCACTGTATCTCTCCTCTTTGGCATCCCTAAGGCTTGATGGAGGGGACAGTTTCCAGGATGAATATGAGAACCAATTGGGTAAGTGTGCCTTGCTGTGGTTACAGATTCAGGTAACAATAATACCGACAGTGATTCACACACAATTGGCGTGTAATCGTTTACAAAATCTTTTCATCTATCTCAGTCAATTCAAAGGTAAAAAGGATTGATATGAAGTGTCTGATAACCAGGATGAGTAGCATTAAATAATCACCAAACTAAACAGAGGTTTGTGGAGGGTCCATATTGTACTAGGTGCTGCTCTAGGAGCTATGGAATCAATGACAAATAAGCAGTCCTTCGGCAGGACAGAAGAAGAGCCCAAAGGACACAGCAAGGGCTGCATCCCTGGGAAGAGGGACAGCTTGGGGAGTACAGGGTGTCAACCGGTAGCCAGAAAGGACCGGAGCCTGGTAGGAGCTATCAGAGAGCAAAGTGAAGTAAGAGAGACAGTGCCTGGGTGGAGATTTAGAATGGGAAATCTGGGGGAAGGGTCAGGGGGCCTAGGAAGAATTTCCCGGAAAGGTGACATCTGAGTTGGGACTTTAATGGCAGGAAGAAGCTTGGGGCATTGGAGAAGCTGCATAGAGATTGGCATGGCTAGAGTGAGGTGAGGGCAGGAGAGGAAAAGAGGATGGTGGCAGAGAGACTCCGCGGGTGTCTGGAAATAAAGGCAGTGGGCCTTGCCAGTGCCCTGGGGTTTTGGTTAAGCAAGTAACAGTGTTTGCTGAGATATGGGAGGCTAGTAGAAGGGCTGGAGGGATATTAAGAGCATCCATTTAGTGCGTTTCCCCATCAATTCGTCCTTTTTCATCGACTCTGCCTGTGTGTGTATGCATTGCTTGAAGAATATAGAGCAGATCTCTTTTGTTTATTATTTGTTCAATAAACATTGACTATACCCTTTGATGGGTAAGGATATGCGGTATAAGCTGACACACAGAGGGAAAGTCTTACAGTCTGCACCTTGCCTGGCCTTGGGTCTTCATCCTGAATTGAACTGAAGCAACCCAGTGCCCACCATGACTGATGCTCCCAACTGCTGTCCACTGAGTAGTGGTTGTAGAAAACAGTTCATCTCCATTTGCAAACAAAAGTGAGAAAGAAAAACTATGAAAGAGAAAAAAACTCTAAGCTGAAACTGCAGGTAATCCAATCTCCTCTACAATGTCCCACATATAGTAATTATTGAATAAATATTTATTAAATGAAAAAATTAATGTGGCATGGTGTGCACTTGTAATCCCAGCTATTGAAAGGCTGAGGCAGGCAGATTGCGAGCCTTGACAACAAAGCAAAACCTCGTTTCAAAAAACAGGAAGAAACGGAAAGGAGGAAGAAATAAAGAAAGTGCAAAAGACAAATTCATGAGTCTTAGTTTTAGGGCTGAGTCTGAGGCCAGTCTTTCAGAAGCTGACTGTGGTGTATAGTATTCACAATGAAATGTTAAGCTGTGATAAAAAAAAATGAACTACAGTGAGATAAAATAAGATGGTTGGCGCTAGGAATTTAACATTAATGATAAAAGCAGGATCCCACAGATTACACACAGCCCAGAAGGATTTTCAGAAGAGCAAGAGCACAATGAACATGGGGTGCAGAGCGATGCTGACCTTGGCAGAGTGCAGCCGGCACAATGGCTGGCTCATTAGAGATGTACAATCACTAGCAGCGGAATTAATAAGCGAAAGAGACCTGCTCACCTACCTCTCTGGGGGATGGATGTGCGTGTGAGAGAGGAAGAGGGATACTGTGTTTAGACAAAGGTCATTATTTAAGTCCTAGGATTTGTTGGGGTTTATAGAGACTAACTGCATTGTTAAACCCACTAACTAGCTAGTGAATTACAAGTGGACCCTGTGTGGATCAAGAGTGAAAAAGACCCTGAATTAAAGGTCAATTATCCAATGGTCTACACACAGGGTTCAAAGAGAAAATAAGAAGCCAATGGCGGGCTATGCTGAGTGGTCGGAGATCAAACTCTACACCTCACACTGTTTTGCCTTGACAGTCATACAGCCTGAGTTCTTTCATTTAGTGGATCAGCCAAGGGGCTTTTCCTGAAGCTCATGGGTGAACATTGCTGACAAAGGGACGTTCATTACAACAATTACATTTGTGTGTGAATCACTGTCGGTATTATTGTTACCTGAATCTGTAACCACAATAAGGCACACTTATGCAATTGGTTCTCATATTCATCCTGGAAACTGTCCCCTCCTTCAGTCCTCTCCTTCCTTCGCTCCCTCCCTCCCTTCCTTCCTTCCTTCCTTCCTTCCTTCCTTCCTTCCTTCCTTCTCAGTTGGTATTGGCAGCAGAGACATTAATCCATTAATCCAGGACCCAGATGTGGAGGTAGAACAATTAACTACTGCCATTAGATACTGCTATACAGCAAACAATATCCTTCTTTCATAAATGATATGCTAGTTAATACTTGGAATGACCTTGAGAAATTATAGAGGATCCCTGGGAAGAGGAGCTGCTGCTGGCCATGGGTATCAGGGCTAATGGCCAGGGAGATAGGTGCATTTTAAGCCTATGAGTAGCATTTGGGGACCATCAGTGTCAGTGACCCTCCTGACCAGATAGAAACAGGAACTTACAGCAGAACCACCCTCTCTCGGCCAAGGATAAATTCTGAGCTGAGGAAAAGAGAGAATGGGGTTGAGACAGGTTGGTGTCAGGTGAGAGTCAGAGACACAATCGCTAGGCAACTTTAGTGGAGGCTAGACTGAAGTGTCTTGGGCTGGTGTTGATGGAGGGAAGAGGGAAGTTGAGAACCCAGCAAAGACCAACTGTGCTTCCTCCTGCTTTGCTAGAAACATCTTATTTTATCCCCAACTTGAACCTGGCCCTCGGTCACAAGTGCTGCAGCCCAGCCCCAGTGAAGGCACCGGTATTTTCCTTTCTGTCTGGGCTGCTGCTGGGCTGGGCTTTTCTGCTTTGCTGATTCAGTCTATTGAAGAGCCCTGACTCACAGGTTTAGTCTAGCCAGTGTCCTCCTGCTATGTGGAGGACAGTGGAAGGGCAGGCCCCAGGCCCCCAGGGCACCCGAAAGCCAAAACTGGAGAAGGTGGGTGGTGAGGCGGAGATGGAACTGGGTGGGGAGTTGATGGCTGAAAACACCTGCCTTTGTCTGATTAGCTCAGAGACTCTCCTTCCCTTTCTTTCCTTCATTCTCTCCCTCCCTCTGTTCCTTCTTCCCTTCTTCCCTCCCTCATTTAGTCCTCTCCTTCCTTCCTTTCTCAGTTGGTATTGGCAGCAGAAAGACATTAACCCATTAATCCAGGACCCAGATGTGGAGGTAGAACAATTAACTACTGCCATTAGATACTGCTATACAGCAAACAATATCCTTCTTTCATAAATGATATGCTAGTTAATACTTGGAATGACCTTGAGAAATTATCCCCATTTACAGAAGAAGAAACCAAGGCTCATATATATGAAGTAGCTGCTATGGTACAGAGCAAGTAACAGATCCAGGTCTTGGGTTCAGGCTTCTGGACTCAGGGGACTGTTGTTTTCATTTCCTTGAAGTTTCAGAAAGCCATCAGGTAAGTATCGGTAGCTGGTGCAGGGTCCTTTTGAGTTTCTATTTCCCCACAATGGAGTTCCAGAGCTGGGCAGCTGGAAGGACCTTCATTGGCATTAGTGTCCCTTCTTCCTTCCTCCATTAGATTAGCTCTTATCTACTTGTCCCCCACCCCAAGCATGTTTTCAGATCTTGGAGCTAAGAGGCTCCTCTAAGTGGCCTCACACACTCTGACCTTTGATATGCCTCCTATCCCACCTACTTCCCACAGTTGCATCCTCTCTGCTAGCTTGGTTAAGAGGCAGTTGGATGCCTTTGCCAGCCTGCAAATGCCAAATGGAACTCTCAGAGTACTGTTTTCCTTCCAGTTCAGAGATGATGAACCCAGACACCAGGAAGCAGCTGTTTTAAGCGGGTAGGGGGTTCAGTGTGCTGTAGAGGAGCCACAAAGAGCCAGCCAGGACAGTATGAGCTCTCATTCACCTTCTGACTTACTGTATTGCCTTGGTTACACCTCTAAACCTCTCTGAACTTCAGGTCCCTGTCAGGTAACTGGGAACCATCTTTCAGAGATGGTGGAGTAGATAAAAGAGTTAATACTCACAATGAAAGAGGCTAGTGTTCCACCAGCCTAATAATGAAGTGAAGAAGAGGTGACAGCTCAAGGAGACCAAGGGAACAGGGAGCCAGGCCAGCTCCTTTGCTCTCCTTGCCAAGCAGCCTGCCCCTGGGCCTTGTTCCTCTCTTCCTCTCCACAGTGCTGACTCTGTATTTTCTTGCTCTATGAAGAAGTCAGTGGGGGCAGAGCTGGAATAGTTGGGGTGTGGACAAAGGAGTGCATAAAAGAGAGCTTTCTAGCCCTGCTGTGGTCTTGGCAGCTTCCGGCTCCCATGGGGGCCAAGCCCTGGCTTTCCATGACCCCAGAGGGAAAACCAAGAGCCAGAGGTGGTGCTGTTGCTAGGTGGTGAGATAAACAGGTCCTCGGAGGCCCTGGCAGGTGGCAGTTAGGTTGCTGAGATCAGTGGCAAAGCAGTGGGGGAAGCCCAGGGGATAGGGTGGAGAACGTTCTCTGGGTGTGACAAAAGACTCAAAGTCTGCTCACAGTCAGCTCGGAGTGGGGTTTGACCATAGCTGGTTCGGGGCTCAAGGGCTCCTCTAGGTGGCCTCACACTCTCGCAGCCCTGACCTGCATCCCATCCCAACTTTACTGCCCCCAAAATTGTCCTCTCCACCAGCTTCAGTGATAGGCAGTCGTATGCCTTTGCCAGGCTGCAAGTAGGATCCTATCTCTTGGGTGCCTCAGCCATGACAGGTAAGATGATGTGGAGGAGGACATGGAAGGCTGCATGACCATGGGGCAGGGAAGGGGGCTGCATTTCCTAGGACTGGCTTGGCTGTGACACAGCAGTGTAGAGTGGTGTGGAAGGTTCTCAGAGGTGCTCACCTTGCTGGCTTCTAAGGAGCCTCTGATCTGTGACCCTGTGTGTGGGTAGGTCCCCTAGCCCCGGATCCACACAAGGAGATTCAGAAAGCATTCTTGCAAACTCTGCCTTGGCTTTAAGCATCCCTACATCTACATACTTTCCATTAGGTATAATCTTGGCTGTTACATTAGAAACCATTTGCCTTGTTCTAAGCCACATAGGTGCTGACCTTTCTGCTATTTGAGCCAGGCAGCCCCCATCCCAGGGTATAATAGCTCCAGGGCGGGTGGGTGGTGTCAGGTGGACTGCCATTACCCTGCTTCCAGGCTGCCGTTCAGCTCTGTCATTTAAGAATCAGCCTTTGTGTTTGTGCATAGCTCTTAACTCTAGGCAGGTCCCTGGGAGATGGTAGAGAGGTAACTACTTTTTTTTTCTTTCTTTCTTCTTTTTTGGTACCGGGGATTGAACTCAGGTCCTTGTGCTTGCGAGGCAGGGGCTGGAACCACTCAGCTAAATCCCCAGCCCAAGAAGTAACTACTCTTATTTCACAAATGGAGGAACTGAGGCTCTCGTGTTATGCTTTCCCCCCTCAAATCAAATGGCAGGACAATGAGGAGGGCAGGAGTGAGGCATCAGTACAGGCCCAGTGGGTGGAACTGAACTGCAGACAGCCCAGGGTCCCTGTCAGGGGTCTTTCCTTCCTTGTGGTGAGCTGCAAAATAGCTTCTACAATGCCTATGAGATCCTTCTCTTGGTCCTAGGGGAAGCAGTCCCTTCTCTCCACCCTCTGAGTTCTCTACTGTTCTCCTTTGTTCAGCTTTTCCTTTGCCCGGGATGGTGGCTGCATCTGAGCCCCCTTTTCCTTCCCCTCAGGGTCTGCATACCTGAGGCTAATGCCTGGCCAGTGGTAGAAAGGGACTCAAGAGAGCCGGCAGGGGCCAGATCACACTGTTTGGGAAGTGTTGATGGAGCTTAAAGCTGAGCCAAGTCCCCTAAATACTGCAACTTATCTGAGCCAGGGAGCTGCCATTTGAGATGCAGCTTGAGGTTTATAAAATAATTCCACTGAGTTTATGCCATCTTTGCTTGTCTTGCCTTGTCCCTTAAGCTTTAAGACAATGGAAAGGGAAGTGGGGAGAGAAGAAGAGGTTTAGTGGTGGAGGCTCTGGTTTCTTCTATATATTTTGCTGAGCAACCTGGGGCAGAGTGTTTAACATCTCCAGGATTCAGTTTCCCTCTGCAATGTAGACGTGAAAAACCTGACCTTAGAGATGAGTGTAGCGAGCAGTGATTGCATATAGTTGCTCCACCTGCTAGGTACAGCATGCCTTTTCAAGCTCACCGGAACCCCATCTGGTCCTCTCCTGATCTCACAGGCTTCTGTATGGTCCTCCTTGCTTACTTTTTGTGGTTTGATGGGTCTCAAGCTGCTCTGGTTGGAAGGGGATCATCCCCTGTGCCTTCTCCTCTTTAGCAGACACACTGCCTTTCTCAGTCATGTTGTCGGTCTTTTATAAGTTTGTAAATTTTTTCTGAGTCTCAGTTTATTCATCTGTAAAATAGGGAGAATGCAATCTACCTCAAAAGGTCATTGGTGGAGGTTAAATAAGAGTATGCATCTGATATTCTTGGCTCAGTGCTTGAAATAGAGTTTAGTAAATGGACAAGTCCCATCGGCTCCAGTTACCCTGGGGGCTGGGAGCAGAACTCCACTCGGTGTTGAAGAGGGACAGCACTGGGGTTTATGGAGGGCAGGGGTGGGCTGGATGCTCCAACGATAATCACCTGGTTTGGCTGCTGCAGCCAATCTGCTGGCAAAGGTCTCAGTTACTCTAGATTGCTCTCCTGGGAACTCTGAACTCATGATCCTATAAATAGTGCTTCAGCGGTGCTTCCGGGACTTCTCTGCATTATTACTTTGAGGTTGCATAACCTGAAGTTCTTTTCCCACTTTCCCACCCACTCATGCAACTCTGAGAATGCTTCGTAGAGTTTTTCCTCACTGGAATGCCATTTGCTAGTGTTTTTGTGGGTGTTTGATAGTGGATAGAGCACAGGCCCTGAAATCCTGCCTGCTGGGTCTGGATCCTGCTGTTGTTTCTCACTGGCCTGAGGCCTTAGGTGAGTTACTAAGCACTGAGAGTCTTGCTTTCATGAGAGAGAGAGGAAGAGAGAGATTGACTTTTACTGTCTTCTTCCTAATGAGTACCAAGTAGCACACTGCTTGGTGCAGAGTAGGAGTGCAGTAACTATTAACTGTAAGAATAATAATAATACTTAATTCATTGAATGAGGCACTGTCGAGGTGGCCTGGAGACAGTACTGGGTAAGAGGCAACGATCTTGTGTCCATGGAGTAGATATAATATATTATTCCTCTTAATAATTAATAACAACATTATAATAGAACCTGATAAATGCTTGACATAGTACTCAAACGCTATTCATTATTAATGGGAAAGAGTTTCACAGAGAGCGTGGTGTGTTTGTGACAGGGCCTGAAAGGATGGTAGCTATTTTGGTGGTTTTGGAGGCCAAGAGGCCTGACAGCAGAAGAGCAAACTGTGGACTAAGTGTGTCTTGGGAGAGAGGCCAGGACATTTAGGGGACCCTGGAGTGATGTCATGTAACCTGTATGAAGGCTCTCTAAGAGAGCAGAGGATGCAAGTCAGAAAAGCTAGGGGCAAGGGCATCTCAGTGGGGAGGGAGGCAGGAAAAGATTTTGAGGATGAATAGGGGAGTAACGCTAGATCCTTTCCTGAGGCTGGGGAAAGACTGTCAAACAATCAGAGCTTTGTAGGAAAGGCAGGTGTGTGTGTAGAGGCTGGGCTGTGAAGGACATTTCAGCAATAGACAGAGCAGACCTAGCATCCTTGGGCTTTGGGTGGAGCCCCTGCTTTCAGTGCTGGGAGTGGAGGCAGTGCAGGGTGAGTGGGGCCATAGTCTTCCATATGGAGGTCTGCATGAGATTTCAGTGGGCACAGAGGCCAGAGCACATTGGGAACAACCACTGAGCTAATAGATGTCTAAACTTCCTCCTCAGTGTCTGTGATTTGAGAGCTTGTGGTTAGCCTGGAACATCTCTCTCCTCTGCCAGAAAAAGACTAGTCTTGCTTCACTCAAAAGTTTCTCTCTCTAAATCAGTTTTCTATCCTTAATGACCTCATGGCAATTTAGGTGTTTTTGTTGAGCAGCTCTGGGTATGAAACTCTGCTGTAATTTTCTTGAATGTCTAAGTTTAATTGTACCTATGGATTTCCTATTATCTGTGTGTTTCCTTTCTTCTCCATGATCTTTGGTGGATTAGTGAAGGATGGAGGCTCCATATAGAAACCACTTTGTTTTCCCTCTTCCCTGGCAGATGCACCAGCATCACTCTGTGCACAATATGCTGCAGGGTTTATCAGTTTCAAGACATGGAATGGGACCCCTTGGCTCTGCAGTTGCTCAGGCAATTTCAGGTTTGGTCTTCCGGGTTTACATCTTGGACAAGAATAAGGGAACTTCAGCATTTGGAGCCTCAGCTGTGACTCTTCTAGGCTGAGTGGACCTTTTCGAGTCACTTAACCTCTTTATGCCTCCAATGCCTTAGGGAGTTGGGGTCTTTCTTACTCTGGATGCAAAAGTGCTTCTCAAACCACACAATGCTATTCCTGCTGCATTAGGCTGATGGCAAGACAGGGCTGCTGTTGTGATTATTGTCTGGAAGACCACTAATAGCTCCTCCTCCTCAGGAGAGATCCTCCCAGCAGCCTCTCTGGGGATTGGAGGTATGATTGTGGGTGATGTCCCTGGCGTCAGGGCAGCAGTAGGATGCAGGTGAAGTGGCTGACCTCAGCTACAGTTGCATCTTTCTTGTTGATATCCATTAGTGAATGAGTGCTCTGCTCTGCCTGGGTTGTGGGAAGCTGTTTCACCAGTCCCTGCTCCATCTGTAAAGCATCAAAACTGAGACGGATTTTGCATATTCATCTCTGAATCTTAGTGTCTTGCCAGTACCTACTCTATGGTGATTGCTCAGGGATCCCTGATGAAGGCATGCACGAACAAGTGCTAGCATATGATGAAAAAAAAAATGAGATCAAAAAACACTTCTGGTGATCAGCTCAGCCCTACTGGTAGGCAAAGCCCAGCCAGCCAGATGTGCTGGGTGCCTTATGACAGAAGATAGCACTGCCACCCTGGTAATGGGGCCGTCTCAGTCTCTCACCCTCTTCCTCTAGTGCTCCTTTCAGCTGCTGTGTATGGGAGTTTCTGGTTGCATGCAATTACAGTAGGAAGCTGGGAGCAAGGGGTAGGGAAGGGTGTTGCCACTTTGAGCCTTGTTTACCCACTTCCCTGCTGCAGTCATGATACTTAGTCAGAGTGGCAGGCTTGGCGGTAGAGCTCAGCATGTCACAGGGGGACTGGCTCTGCTAAAGGCTCCTCTTTCCTGTCTCTGTGTTTTTGAGGCAGGCTTAGGCCTGTCCTTCTCTCACCCTTGGCCCTGGACTCCTGGGATGAAAACAGTTTGGTCACATCTCTGCTAGGGTTGCTCATGCTTTCTGATTAGACTTGGTGAACCATGATTTCAGTGTCACATAGATCAGGAGCTAATGCAAGGGGGTTCAGTCTTGAATCATTTGTCATTCATTGATTCATTTGTACAGTTACCAAGTGTTTCACCTTTGCTGGGCCTGTGCTATATTTGGAGCTAAAAGGCATAGACCCGGACACAAGAAGCTCACGGTCTGCTGGCAAAAGATTTATAAAATGTGGCATTTTAAGTTTGGGAAACTCATGGCTTGGGGAAATCACTGGGAGCTGGAAGTATTTGATTAAGGCTGATGTTTTCATTTGAGCAAGGCCGAAGGTTATAGGTAGAAGAGGTGCCTGAGAAATCTGATTTTCAGGTCTGGAAGCATTTGATTCCTGCCATCCTAGGCTTGTTCTGGGACTTTGGGAGCTTGTTCTGAGCCCTGTTTATGGTGTGTTTTTCTTCCCCCCAGTAAATCCCCTTCTCATCTCCCACAGGCAGTGCTCTCACCAGCTCACATTCAATCTCAGCCCTCTCCGAAGCCCACAAGGCTAGGTCCTCTGCTCTCAGTTGCTGGTTAGACCTGTTTTGTGTGACGAATGAGTGTTTGTCCCTCCCTGCCTTCCGTTACCCCCCGCCCACATTTTGTTCCACATAGCAAGCTGGCCCTTGTCCCCACACTGCCACTCTGTCTTGTGATCCCATAAAGTTTCCTCTGTCTGGAACACCCTCCCTGCCTTCTCTGCCTGGAGAGAGCTGGCTCATTCTTCAAGGTGCAGTGCAAAGATTTTTCTCTTGTGGGACAACTTCCTCAACTCCCTTTTCAGTGCTGGAGGCCCTTTGTGGTTGCCTCTGGATTCTATTTGTCACACTCTGTTTTGAGCACATCTAGCGCAGAACCTAGACCAGTGAGGGCGAACCTTGTAGAGCTTTCAAGAACAAACAGCCTTCTGTGGCATTTATAGGTTCATCAGCAATGACCTTCCTGCCCCATCAAGAGTTGGCCAGTGGCAGGGGCTGATTGAATAAATGGTGGCTTGGGGCTGGAGCTTTTTTGGGGGTCACAATGACATCAGGCCCAGGCAGTCAGGTAGAGAGAGGAGGAGGGCAGGTAGGGAGAGAAGTTTCCTTTCTTCTCTCTCTAAGGCATTTCCATTACCCCATTCTCAATTTCCACTCAGAGCCCATAGCCACCAGGACTATGGGCTCATGGGCTCTCTGCCTCTATCTGAAGGGGACCCTCCCAGGCCCCCACTGCCAGCAACCTGGCTCACTAACTTGACACATTCCTTAAACCCTAGACAAACCTAAGCAATGTTTAAACCAGCTACAAGGAAAGGAAGAGGCAGTGGGGAGGGCTCCTCCAGGGTAGCTAGAAGGTGAAGACTGACATGTTAATACCCTTCTTTTACTCAGGTATGAACACTCTTTTCCAAAGCTCATGGCATGTTTGGGCCCGCCTAGGTATCAATAAGTTAAGGCCAGGATGCCCAGTCATGGGCACCTGTTTTCTCTCCAGGCATCAGCTACCAAGTGAATATGAAGGGTCACATTCCCCTTAGGACTCGACATGGCCCTGACCTCTGCTCTGGACCCATTCACAGCTCCAGCTCTCCCTGGGCACACCCAGTGAATAGGTTCAAGAATGATTGTTAAGAGTACAGTAGCTCCAGGCAGGACTTGGACTCTGTACCAGGAAGGGGCCTGGCCCTGAGCTACACCTCTCCCCAGGGCTGGGAGCTGTGAGTATCCTGGCCTTGTTAGTGGGAATGCACAGGGTTATTAGGCATGTGCATTGGTGGCTAGTATAGGGCCAGAAGCTCCCTCAGTCCTCTTCCCCAGACTGGGCAGGCTGCTGCCCTGCCTTTGGGGCCCCAGTCCTGACCCCTCTACCACAGTGTACCCACATGCCTTCCCTCTCTCATATGGCAACGCCCACGAGTATGTGACCAAGGGTCAGGTTTAGAAGTGACACTCAGCTGTTATTTCCTGGAGTGGATTCCTCTATAGTCACAAGGTCTTTCATTTGTACAGTTTCCTTGTTTATACGACCTCACATATATTAGCCCACTCAGCATCTCCACTCACCCTGTGTGTGTGCCTGGGGCCTGCCACGGATCACACTATGTTTTCATTTTACAGAGGGAGAAATGAGTCTCAGAAAGATTAAAGTCTCAAGACAGCACAGCTGGCCTTGTGCTCTTTGATTCTATGGGTTTTGCTCCTGTAATCTGTCTCAGAAATTGCTCCCTTGTCTGCTACTCCCTCAGAAGGGACCCAGATGTCCTCAGTGCCAGCCAGTAACAGCTCCGGTTGGCACTTCTCCCCGCTTCACCACGAGCCCCAGAGGATGGTGCCTCTCTGTGCTCCGGGAATGCACAGCCAAGCAGCTGACGCTTTGGTCCAGGCTGTTCCAGCAGAAAGCAGGAAGCCCCTCCCTCGCTCTGCCCTTGCCAGACCCTCTTCCATTAGAGGATGATGGGAATTGCTCAGGCAGAGGGTCCAAAGATGGTCCTGTGAAGGCCCAGCAGTTCACATCCTTTGCCCCTGGACAGCTCCTTCCCTTCCCTCCCCTCTCCTCCCCTTGCTTCTCTTCCTTTTTGCTTTCATTTTGGGCAAGTTCTGCAATTTGGCCAAGGAAGGGGGATGAAGACTCCCTGGTCTCACCTCAGACCCAGCTATTCTCTCTTCCTTTCCCTGGACCTCACTTGTCCAGTTTGAAAGGTGGAGTTGATTCTCTGTGCCTGAAATAGCAAAGTTACCCTAGTGGGTAACTGACATCGAAGCAGCTTCTGCCCTTGAAACAATTAACACCAACCTCTAGCCAACAGGCCAGGCCTCTGCAAATGGACAGGCAGGATTTCAGGGAGAGTCGTCAGAAGGGACAGTCTTGGCTTCTGTGGCCACCTTATTTGGTGGGTGATGGAGGGACAGAGGAGGCCAGACATGTGAGGGGCTGGGTATACCAGTAGTTACTGAATTCTCAGCAAATGACCCCTTGGCATGCTTACAAGGTCCTTTATAGGGAGCGTACCCTCCCCTAGCCTTAGCAGCTGGGGTGCCCACACTCACCATGCTGGCTCTGTGGTTGTCCAGTTTTCCCACAACCTGGAGCTGAGATGGGCAACCAAAGGCTGGAGGAGCACGTCCACTCCAGGGACGGGCCCTGCTGGCCAGCTGGGCAGCGCTGCCTGGAGGCCTAAGTGTGGGATCAGCTTTGGTCCCTCACGACCAGCATCTTCTCCTTTAGGCTAGCTGACTGCTCTGCTGCCGTATTCCCGTAGTGATTTGGGGACTGTGGGGCTGGTCATTAAGACAGTCCTGCAAGTGAAGTTGCCAAACTGGAATGATTATGTATCTTGTAACCTGACACCCGTTTTAGAGGCAGGAAAATACCTGGAGTCATTCACAAGCCCTTTGGCCTTCTCGGAACAGGTGACACGCCTAAACTGTTTCAAGCCTAAACGGCTTCCACCCAGCCGGGCGTTGAAGGAAGTCTCTCCTGGTTGCGTGACTTCTCGTTGTGTGGGTGCTTTTCTTTGTGGTTGCAGAAAGTTGCAAGAGTCTGCGGTTGGGATGGCAAATTTGCTGCTTCACAGAATGGGATTGTTACCATGTGTGGAGTAACAGAATTGGAAAATTCATGGAGAAGGGGAGGGTTTCTTCTCTTAAGGGAACCCCCTTCCCTGGATGCCAGAAACCAGGCTGTCCAGCACAGGACTAACACACAGTATACTGGCCAGCATCTCCTCCCAGGAACTCATTGCTTGTTACAGTTTTTTTTTTTTACAAACTTGGCTCTGAGTGGGCTGGAAGCCTCCTGATTATAGAGGGCCTCAGCTCTTGGCCCAGGGCAATCGTCATTAGAGTTGCAGGTATGGGGCAGTGCTGTGAGGTTAGAACAGATGACTTCAGAGCACAGGCTCCAGGTGGCCTCTCCCTTTTAAGGATGACTTCAGCAGTAGGGTGGAGAAAGGCCAGTGGGCCACCCTGGGCCAGGCTTTTCTTTCCTTAGCTTAGTTCCTCTAGGTGCCAGAATAATTATCTGGCCTACAGGTGTCCATTTGCTCACCTGGTGCTCAGGTGAACCATGAAAGTGGTGGCTGCTTGGGTAGGATGGCTGCTGGGTGGGGCTGGTTGGAAGGATGATTTCTCAGCTGTCCTCCCTCCAGCTCTGGCCCCAGACCCCAGTTGGAAGGAAGCATGTGGGCAGGCTGGGCAGGCTTCTGGGATACCCAGGGAAAGGGGCTTCAAGATTCAGGTAGAGAGGCTGTGAGGGCAGAGGGCAGAGATCACCTTCTCCCAGGCACCAGGTGCAAGCAGCCAGACCAGAACCTTCATTTGCCTGAGGAAGCCTCAGCTCCCCTAGCCCTAACCATCATTGCTTCTCTCTAGTTTACTTATCCACCTCCTGTTTTTTCTTCCTCTTTCTTTCCTTTGACCCATCTTTTTCCAACAACTTTTTCTCTTCTTCCTTTCTTCTGTTTCCAGCAAATGGTCGAGATCAGGGGCAGGGCTACCACAAATCTCAAGCTTTCGGGCCCCTCCCTTGCCTGGCTGTAAGGAAGTTCCCAGCAGTATGTTCTCATAGTTGTAAGTTTCTGTAACTTTTGCAGAAGTTCTTGGCATACTTTTTGTGGGAAGGCCCCTCAACATATATAAGCTTCAAGTCTCACATAACCTGGATCGCCCTTGGTAAGAGCATGGGTTCTGGTAGCCTGAAATCCTGTGTCCTAATCTCAACTATTAATTATTTGTGTGACTGTGGACGTTTAATTTAATCCTTCTGAGCTTCATCTTTCTCATTTATTTATAATAAATTTCTCATTATAATAATAGTAATGACCTGGAAAGTTTGTTATAAAGTTTAAATGAGTTAATCAGTGAGACATGTTTGGCACCTAAAAGAGATTTTGTAAATGGAGCTATTATTCCTATTTATTTCCCAAAATGTGTGTTTATTGAGCTCATGCTAGAGTCCATTTTTATGCTAAGTGCTGAGGATTAGGTAAGAAAAGACACAGACCCTGACTACACAGGCCTTGTAGTCTACTGGAGGAGACAGGGTGCATCCATAAATCGTGCTAACTTTTCATCTCTTACTGTCCTCTCCCTCTCTCTCTGCTTTCCTTCCTTCCCTTTGCCTTCATTTTTATCCCTTTACTTAGATATGTAATTGATAGGACTATATTAATTGCCAGTTGTTTCAGATTATGCATTTGATATTTGTTTGCTTTTGAGACAGAATCTTGTTATGTTCCATAACAAGTTTGGCTGGCTTCTAAGTAGCTGAGTAGGCCAGGCTGGCCTTGAATTCATGATTCTCCTGCCTCAGGTTCCCAGAAGGTTAGGATTACTGGTGTGTACCACCATGACCAGTTTGATATTAATATCAGAAGTCACCCACTTTCCCATCTGTATATGCCTGCCCATCCATCTATCTATCCATGCATCCGTCCACCCACCCACCCATCCACCCAATAGGTATTTTCTATAGTGTGATCAGACAATATGGCTAGACACTGGCTGGAAAAAATGAAAAAACTCCTGCCTTCAGTCCTCCCTTGTACTGCTCTTCCCCTGTTAAACCAGCACTTTCTGGCACAGCAAGGCTTCTAGGTTCTCCTGCTAAAGGTGTGTCCAAAGCCTGTCACCTGGGAGCTTGTTAGAAATGCAGAATCTCAGCTCCCCCACAATCCACAATTGGGATTTGCATGACAAGATCTCCAGGCAAGGAGGCACATGCCTCTTACACCTTGAGAACACTGCTCTAGGTCTCTTCCCACGCTTAGGAGCAGGTAGAGGTTGCCGTTTTTTGGAGCTGAATTCACAGTGAGAGTTTAACGTAGATGAACCCCACAGGGATCCTTCCAGTCAGCACAGCCTATGGTTCCTCTTGTTGAACCCAAGTACAGTAACTTGAGATCCAGTTCAGAGACAGACATTTTGATTCAAGGCCCATCCAAGGGATTAGGGAAACAGGTTCAGAGGGTGGGCAGGAGCTGGCAGTGCCGGGATCTCCTGTGCTGAGCAGCTATACAGAAAACGGTGTGCAGAACACAGTGTCCCTCTCATGGGAACAGAAGAAGCACTCTACTCCCTGTGAAGGGGTGTATGTGTGGCTGTCAGCTCCCCAACTTTTAGGAGTGGGTTTTCACTGCCTAGATCTTCTCCCAAGATATATTTTAGGCCAGAGACTGTCAAATGGAGCCTCAAACATATGAACCAAAGCAGCAGAATGGGGGACAACTGAGAGTGTCAAAGCCTGGCTGATCCCTAGTCACTTTGGTGTCTGGGCACTGACCTTCCTGCCAGGTGGGTAGAATTCCCTTTCACGTGTGCATAGTGTAAGGCTGGGGATGGGAGCGGGGGAGATAGGTGTAAGCCTGGTGGAATGACAGCGTGTTCGCTTCAAATACACTACAAACAGTAAAAAGCAGCTCATACATTATGTGTGCTCCCATGGGCCAGGCTCCTAGGCTGTGTAAAGATGTCATACTGATTCATTCCATCCTCCCAGATACCTGGGATGTGGGTGCTGCTATTACCTCTGTTTCTCAAAGGAGGAAATTGAGGCTCAGACAAGGTTGGAATCTGGGTCTATGTAACCTAGGGCTCCCAGGCCTTTTCTCCACGCATCAGGTACAGGTAGGCCCTGCATGGATGGTGGAGAGGGTTTGCAATGACCTTGGCAATCCTCCAGGGACCTCTGAGATTCCACCTTGGAGCCCCAGCCCCCTGCCTGGGCCTGCCTGAATCCCAGGGGTGGTTTGCACCTTGCTCTGTGATTTGGTAGCAGTCTCGGTGAAAAACTTTTCAGTAGCTTTATTCCCCCACTTTGGGTGAGGAACAAATTTCAGATAATTTCTGAATGTAGCCCCCCTTCCTCCTCCCTGCCATACCTGGGAATCAAACTCAGCACCTTTCACTCTTGAGACAGACTTGGTCCTATTGAGCTACCCCACTTCTTTTCCTCTGACTTTGATGATGATGATGCCTCGGATTGAACCCAGGGTCTCATGCATGCCAGGCAATCACTCAACTGTGCTGAGCTACTTTTTTTTTCCATTTGTCTCTCAAGAATATCCTTAATTTTACCCCCAGCAACCCCATGCGTAAAAGATACAGGAAAGGCAATATTGCTGGAAGATTCTACTTTATTCACAACTGTGCTATAGATTTGAGATGATAAACAAATGAAATTTGATAAAGTTTTTTTTTTTT